GGACCTATCCGAGAGACTTGAAAACATTTAGCTTTCACTTGGTGCCGAAGACTGTTACAAATGCAATTGTAAAGAGAAGAAACCTTTCAGGTTCATAAAAGTGTTGCTCGACTTATATACACATGAGGCTAAAGTCAATTAAAATCAGCAATGAATTAATAAAAGCCAGCCAGATGTTTTCATGTTCCAGATGTTTTGTTAACTTTCATTCAATTTTAAGCTTCCTGGGAGCAGAGACCAGTATGAATCTTGCATGCACTGAGTGGGTGCTGTATAGTTGGTATAGATCCCTGGATTCCTGTTTCCAATTAATAAGAAAAGAAAAGGATTAACTGTCTAAAGTGATGAAGGAAAAAGTACAGCCTGACACATTGTAAAGAATATTAGTTAGCAATGTGCTGTAATCAATATACAGCAGTCCTTCCTTTATCCATGAGGATCAAATTTCAAGGCATTCCATGGATTCCTGCAATCAAAGATGGTAACAAACCATCCATCTATCATCTACCTGTCTATCTATCTCTTTCCCATATATACATGCATACCTGTGATAAAGTTTAATGTGTAAATAAAGCACAATAAGAGATTAACAACAATAAGTAGTTATAGAATAAAATGGTTATAACACTATACTATTAGTAAAGGTTTTTAAAACCTATGAATTTCTGGAATTTTCCATTTATTTAATATTTTTGGACAACAATTGACCATAAGTGACTGAAACTTCAGAAGTCAAACCCATGGATAAAGAAAGACTACCTTACACTGTGGGATTCCCTCATAGGCTTAGATGGCAACTGAGTTCAAATACAAGAAGCATGACCAGGAGTGGTAGGTGCTGCCCTCACAGTCATGTGTTTGCAGATAATCCATCCTGAACTTTAGCACTTCTTATGCAAGAGATAATAAGCAGAGTAGAAAAGACGGGACTGGCACACAGCAGACCCAGACAGATATGAGCAAAGGAACCCAAAACTGAGTGTAAAGCAGTGGTTTTGATGAGTTCTTAACAAGTTTAGTGAATTCAGAGTGAAATAATTAATTGCTAAGCATGCTATTGTTGGCTATTTAACAACAGCCAGATTAAGTTAAATTTTTTCCATTCAAGATAAAGAATTGTTGAATAACAGCCTCTGGAAAATAATGCCATTTGAAGTTGAATTTTAATAAGTGCTAATAAATTAGTAACAAAGCCCTTCTTATTGGCACTTAGAGACTTCTAGTATTATAAAATAAAACAACAGTGAACTCAATATATGTGTCAAAGTGACCGTGAAAAAAATTATTTACTTCAGGAACAATTCAACAATAAAATGCATAATGACTTCTGAATGATTTCTTAAAAAATTGCTAATGCTTTGGGGTTAGAAATACTCAGAGCAGAACCTGACACTAAGACAGACAGACCGTTCTCAACTTGCAGGCGGGTTGTGTCCAAGAATATTTGATTGTAAAAGACTTGTGGAGCATTTGAGTTTCATTTGTCAGGAAAGCTGGTGATGCAAGAGGAAACACTAAGCACAGTGGCTTTCAACAAAGGAGGTGTGTCAGGGACTCCCCGGGGAGAGGGAAACCCAGATGCCTTCAGCTCTGCCTACAAAGAGTGCAGTTTTTGAGTCAGACATAGATGAGATCCAGTTCTCACTCGGTTACCTTTCAGCTATTTGTCTTTGAGCAAGTTACTTCTCTGAACATCTGTTTCCTTTTCAAAAATGTGAAAAACTACCCCAACGTACATGGCAGAATTAATGCCATCTAAGTTGCTTCACTTCTCTATGTCAAACTCTGTACTGTTTTTCCAAACATGCTCCCCTTGGCTTCCATCTTCTTTAACCAATCCATTACTAAACTCTGTAGTCCTACAGGTTTTGCCTCTGAAATATCTCTGGAACACTTCCATTTACCTCCATCCTCACCGCATTGACCTGGGCCAATCACATCACCATCTCTGGCCACAGGACCCTTAATGCCTCCTGCTCTTTCTACTTGACATTCTTATAAGGATAGCCTTACACCCCGTATTGTTCCCTCTAATCTGTTCTTCATGGGGCAAGAGCTCTCGAGAGCTTTTTAAAACGCAACGCTGATCCCGTGACTCCTATTTCTAATCATTGAATAGATTCTCGCTGCCCCTTGGATAAAAGCCAAACTCAACATGAATTCTAATGCATGCACCCTGCAGTGTCTGCCTGTTCCTCCATCTCATTCATACACTCCAAACACCACGCAAACACTCACACAACTCCACATGCCTGCTTTGCATAATTTATGTAGGTCCCTTTCGTGCGTGATACTGGCCACCTCTCCCATGCCCGTCCCTGAAGCAGGTGGCCCCCTGGGCTTAGAACACCTTTCCTTCGTTGAGTCCTTTCCAGCTCCCCATCATAACTCCATTATCCACCCTTGCTATAGGATGTAGGCCAACCTCGATCTTACTAGTTGTTAGAATTCCAGTAATAAAACTCCAGGGTTCCCATATCAAAAGACTTCTTTGTAATGATTAGTTTAATTTTCTGATTTCTCTCAGGCTAGAAGTCTAATGCAGTAGGGCAAAGTGGTAGGAAGACTGTAAGTTTTATTACAGTTTTATTACTGTTAGTAGATTAGATTTTGGTGTCTGCTTATCAAATTACTCAGCATCTTTATGATTCAGTTTCCTCATCTGTAAAATGGGAGACATAATTCTATATACACGGGGGGAGGATTGATACTAAAAATAAGTTTTCAATATATAGATATACACATAAAATGAGCACTTGTTAAGTACAATCTTCTTGTTTTCCTTTGCCTCTTGAAGCAAGATATTTAGGGCAGGGGATATAGCTCAGTGGCACAGCACCTGTCTAGCAAGCATGAGGTCATGAGTTTGATCCCTAGTAGCAAAAAAAAGGAAAAAAAAAAAGGAAGATATTTATTGCTAATAGGCTCAGAGTATAACCCAGTACACTAGCCTCATAGGTGTGGGACCCAGAGTCACAGAAATACAACATTAAAAAAAAAAAAAAAAGCTTATGGAAAAAAGTGTTAATAGTAGGTTTGCTTCAAATTCACTCACTCTTTCCCAAACTATGCAGCTCTTGAGTGTTTCATGGAGACTAAAATGCAATCCAAGTGAGCAAAGAAAATACTACATTCGTAAAATATTCTGCAGCCAACCAGTACAACATCTCTTCCTTTTCCTGTTCCTTGGTACAAATTCTGCCTCTGCCACACTTCTGTAGTCTTTTTATCTGAGCTGTCCTTTCAGAGGGCACCGGCTGGGAAGTCGAGCCTGACAAATCTGGAGCATGAAACTCATTCAACAAATCCAGTCCTGTGCGCTGGCAAGCAAATTATTTTTAGTTTTTCATTGCACTCTGAAACACACATACACACACACACACACACACACACACACACACACACACAAACTGTAGTTTTTGTTTTTTTTTTTTAAAGACAAGATGCCCAAATGCATTTCAAAAGCAAAACTACAAATTAGTACAGCATGGGGTGTGTGACATTTTAAGGTCTTTGGAAATGATGACAAAACAAGGAGCTTTCTTTCCATTTTCATGGGCCATTAAGTTTTTATGAAAACATAATGTGGGAAAAATCAATGAACAGTAGACCTATCGCCGCATGGAGTGAGGGTGTCCTTATTACCTGGTAGCTGCCAGGCTTTAGAGGAGATACTGTCATCTTGATTCTCTGATGAGTCACGAGGGCTCTTGCCCCCAGAGACACTTCATTATGATTCAGTGCAAAGGACTGAGAAGGCTGCGGCTTCCGGAGTGAGTGTGTGTTGGGTGGCGGGTGCAGTGGCTCCGCGTTGGCATGAGGCTTAATTGACACCTTTGATGTAGCCTAAGACAGAACCCGCACCTCCCACTGCCGCTTGGAAGACGTCAGCCTTACGCAGAAAAAGCATCTGCTGATGAATCCTGCATCTCATTCAGCCTGCTCTGGAGCAGCCTTAGCCATCCTTAACTAATCCAACTGCTTCCCATTTCCGCTGGTGCTGGGCTTAGTGCTGAGAAGAGATTTTGCTTCTTGCTATTGTCAGGTTACACACTAAGACTGTGTCCATGTTAGAATTCATAGAAGGTAAGTGAAATGGACTGTCGCTCTCCCTGTGGAGACTGCTTATTATGCACCCTCCAGAATGTGTGTGTCTCCTGTTTAATTCTACTTCACTCATTGTGCAACTGTGATGTTGTCATTTCTAGATGCAAAATACAGTCAACCTTATATGTCTTTATAAAATCACATTGTGTAAGGGTTTTATGTGTTCTTAGAGGTGTTGGTACTCAGAGAAAAGAATTGCTTATGTGAGTTCTCTGGCTTTTGTCTTGGTTTAGATAATGGTACATAAAACTTGAGAAACTGGTAGAATTCCAGTGATTTCAACCCATTAGAGAGCTGCTTTTATTTTCAAAGGCGGCAAAGACAAGCTGTGAGGAATTCCTCCCTTCTGTGTCCAGTTCTTTGAACTAATTGAGGCAGGTCCATCAGAATCAGACTGGAGGAGGGATAGGACACAAATGGATGCAGGAACTTCTAGAAATAAGTTATTAACTTATTTCAAAACCAGAGTGATCTATTTTATCAAGTCACAAATATCATTTGTGAACTGTGCTGATATTTTCCCTATGCTGTAGGGCTGAGCAGCTAAAACAAAGAATTAAAGATGAATACTATTAAAAATGTCTCAGGACTTTAACCACACTCCAAAAATCTTTGGTGACACAGATAAAATCATCATTAATAAATTCATCTAGAAAGTTGAATAAATTTTTAACACTATTATATAATCTGCTGCTATATTAAACACAGAATTAATAAAGCAGTGAATTTATGAAGGTGATTGCTTCCTAGTCTTTTCTTCATCCTACAGAAAAATAGACGTCTTACATTTGAGCAAGATATCCATCTCTCACTGTTTATTTCTGTGAGAAGATGAACTGTTACGAAAATCTCCTAACCCATTTTTTTTTTCTTGCGATTCTTTTCGTTTCTAGTTAATGGAACCCCTGGTAGCCAGCTCTCCACTCCTCGCTCGGGCAAGTCGCCAAGCCCTTCACCCACCAGCCCAGGAAGCCTGCGGAAGCAGAGGGTAAGGAAACAAGCGAGCTACCTATGTGAGATGTTCTTGTGCCTTGGTACACAGGAGCTAGCAAATTGTGCTGCTTGTCTCTCGTGGGAAACCCAACCAGGGCAGGGAGTAAACAATACCGGGTCACTTATCTTTGTTGCCGTTTAGCTGTGGTACAGAGCTTTTAAATGCTCTGACCACTTTTCCAAATCTTAACTCTTGGAACAGTGTACACCAGCTGATTCACTTTTAGATACAATCCTTGTTTTCATTTTGAATGCACAGACTTTATTAGCTCGGGGTTGTGATCTTCCTTAGGTGTACTAAGTTTTATTAGATATCATCGTTGATCACCTGCCCCCTTAAGAAAAAGGGAAAGTGCTGTTAATGGAAGGGAAGATTGAGTAGTGCAGAGCCCAGGGAACAGGAGAGGGATACGTGTGCAGAACATGTGGTTTTGTGAATGGAGTCCACAGTGAACACATTTTCTTTCATTACTGCTTGCATTTGTTTTGAGCCTCTTGTGTAATAACAGAGAAATTGGCTGAGCCTTTAGACCAAAGTGGAAGCGTTGTTAGCAAAAGCATTAATTTTCCCATGCTTAGGAAAGGAATGAGAATTAGCTCTTCAGCCAGGGTGGGAAAACTCCTCTACCTTTTGTTATTTCCAGTAATACCACAGCAAGAAGAAAAGAATTGGAAAGGGGAGGCGGGAAGGTGCAAGGGCAGAAATGGAAGGCCAGTCATAGCTGTGATTCCAGAAGTGACATGAGCAGAATGTATGCCTTTAGGAGAGGTTATGATGGCGCTCCACAAACAGTTTAAAAAGCAAGCTCTCATTGGAAGCTACTGGACTCTAATACCGAAATCTCGAATTTGGTTTTATTTTTTTAATTGTGTGTTTAAAGTGACTCATCTAAGTTGCATAAACTTAAGCTTCAACCAAGATCCAAACTCCCTCTCTTCAAATATCCTGACCAAGATGGATCTTTAGCCTGCAGGAGCCATTAGCCCTTTCAAAGTAGAGGACACAGGGGAGACTGTCGTACCAGATACCAGGTTTCATTATTTGTCTTTATTGATTTGCCTCACATCAGGGTGAGCTTGTTTGAATTGTTTGATGAAGTCTTGGACTTGGCACCAGATTCTCCACTAAATGGCTGAGTTGTCTTAAATAAGTCTGTCATCCTTCAGTTGGAAGAATAAAACAAAATAAAGTCTCTTTCCAGATAGAAAACCCAAATAACCCTATTTCAGTTCCATTGAGTACTTTTGCTAAGTTCTCCTTAGTCTAACTTAGCATTTTAAAGTCCATGAATTATTGAACTATGCAGAGAAGAGTTGGCCAAATTGGTTTACTCTCCTAATAGCTTATCCTTGAGTAGAGGAGGAGTTATGTGGGCACTCTTTTCTTTTAAGTGTTACACTGAAAAGCTCCGATCCATAGGGTCAGTCCTTAGATGCAGCACGCAAAGGACCCTCTTTCACAGAACATTCTCTTTCTTGAAGTGTGCACTTTGGAGACTATGCCTAGCACAGAAATCTCTCCTTATCCTTTGATCCAATCTGGATTTATAGATATCTCTTATTTAGTTGCTGAACTTAAATTAAGAATCTCTGCTACAAATGTGAGCCAGCTTCTCTCCCTCTGTGTTTATCATGGAGACCCTTGTAATCCTAGAGGTGTAAAGCTGTGCTTAGATGTCCTTTGTTGGCAGAACAAGGTAAGACTTTCCATCATTTCCCTTGATATTGTCTGCCTCCCTAGGATTTCGTACAACTGAGGCAGAAAATTGTCACCCAGCTGTGTAGTCATTGGCTTATATAATTAACACTTTCACTTGAGAAATGCCCATAACATATGGTTTTGTGACAGACTCTTCATTTTGCCATTTATTTTACCAGTTCAAGCACCCTACTTGAAGTGGGGAAGAATATCCCATTTGTTTCAGGGGGACAAAGAGTTTAACAGCATGTGAAAACATTTATTAAGCACATGTTGTAAGCAGGACACTGGGTATATTCAAAGATGGTTTAGTTCCAAGATTTTGAGTTTAGCTGCATATATTCAAAGGCAATTCTGTTTTCAAGCCTTTGAATTGATGAACATCCTCTATCTATGTACCATGTCAGAGAATGGAGATGTTTCCAGCTGTGCTAATGGCAGGGGCTTTCATCTTGGTGTGTAGACAACCGCATCAAATAACCCCTTCCAGTTAAATTGAGCCTAGGATGTCCCTAAAAAATGGTCCTGTTTTAAATTTGGTTAATATTCTTCTCAAATTCTTGGCTGTATTCCTATGCAGGAAATACTGAAATATGTAAAAGATGGCATGTGCTAAAAGAAGACACTTCAAAGAATAAATTAACTCTTTTTATTGCAAATTAGAAAACAGTAGCTATTTCTATTTTTTCCTCCTCTGTTGCCTAGCAACATAGCTGGAAAAATGAGTTGGCTGCTCCCATTCCAACACACACACACAGAGGCACACACGGATGCTTCTTACCCCCTTTGTAAAATCAGGGGTACGAGCTGTTTTTTTCTTTTTAAAATATTTGTAAAATTGGCTTCTTTAAAAATAGCAAAATTTATAGTTTACTTATGTATGAATCAATCATCTTTTTTTATTAAGTTCTTGCTTTTATGTTACTTCTTTTGAGATTTTAAAATAGTCACCTACAGTTAAGTCTGCATGTCAGATCTTTTTCTTCATAATCATATTCATGGCAGTGTACTAAGCAACCTCCCTATTTCCCCAAAGCACAGTTAATTACATTGCTATCTAGAAACATCTGACGGATCACAGAATTGGACCTTAGAGGTTCTTTTCCTGTCTGTGAACTTTTTTTGGTTCCATTTCTCAAGACATCAGGATGAAATGTGTTGTGCAGGTTAAATGAAGCTCCTTGGTACACTCCCACATCACTGATCCCTGTGGATTATCTGATCAGACGATGTGAGGAGAGGAAGGGAGGTAGAAAATTGACAAAAGCCAACTGTAGACACTTTGCAGATCTGAGCTGGTTGCTTGGCTACCAGCAGAGAGATCTACTAGCAGAAAAACCCAGAAGGGAAGATGAAGCAGGGAACAGGAAGGAGCACTGGGGGAGCATGGGTGGGAAATTGGGGGCTTTATGCTGTGCCCAAACACAGCAACATAAGTTGCTACTTTGGAACCAGAGCGTGCTGAATACCTGCTGGGGCACCTGAAAAATTATTTTGTGAGGTAAGCACATTTCTTTTCTAAAAGAATGAAAAGGAAATGTTCATGGAAGGGTTTTTTAGACACAGTGTAGTGGAGCTGGCCTTTGCAGACCTCAGGGGTCTTAACAGGAGGTGAAGGCAGGCGAAAGTTCACAAACACATCAGGCAACATTTTTCATGCCATTAAAGTAAAGTCAGCATTTTTTGGTCTATGTAGATGGTTTCTTCATTGTTTTCTTTCCTCATATTCAAAGTTGGTGAGTTTAAAGTTCTAATAATACTAGAAACCAAGGATGCCATTCAGAGTTGCTCCGAAGAGAGCAACAGGGCACCCACGAAAGCAAATAAAAGAACATGTCCCTGCCCTTCATCTTACAGGACCTGTACCGCCCCCTCTCCTCGGATGATTTGGACTCAGTAGGAGACTCAGTGTAAAAGGCACAGTGGAGCAGTGTATATGGTTTGTGATTGGGTGAAGGTTTCACATTTCCTAAGCAAGCGTCTAATAGTGAACGACACAAAAGAGTTTTGCATATTTTGAAATAATATAGACCAAAACATGCAAATATAAATATGTCAGCGTTTTATACATCCTTACAGGAAACATATTTAAAACTAACTCCTCTGTTTGATTAGATTGGAGGATGTTTCACTCAGTTGCTGAAGTTTTTGCAGAAGTCCTGGCTCTGGATAAGTTTCATGCATGAACCCAAAACTGAGAAGAACATGCTAACAGTGTAGCCGTGTCAGGATTTCCTTAGATGAGGATTTCTTTTTAATTGTGAGTAGACCTATAGATACAAATTTCCTGTTCTTCTTACCGAAAAACAGAATTAAATGCCATTAGCAGACATATTTTTTTCTTAAAGTTATATTCTTTTTAAAACTTGGCTAACTGGCTTTTAGAGGTACTCTTAATGTAAAATAATGAAAATATTCAATTAGATTTTTGTCTTTCTAATAATTTTGGGAGTTTAACATAACTGAGGGAAAAAAGAACCTCATGTCAATAATACACCTCATGGGAGCTAACGTTAGACATTAGGAACTTTGTTTTTGTTGTCACATAAATTTTATTTTTTAAAGTGATCTTTCATAGGCAACAGCATGAATATAGTTTAAATTATACGGAAACATAAGGAACGTGTTCTTGGCATTGGCATAAATTATATAATTCTTCCCTTCAACCATAAGTGTAATTTTTCAAATGTTTAAAAGCTGAAGAAAGGATTTTTTAACATAGAGATCTTTTTTAAAATGGTGCCTGGACTTCTTCCAAAAAATCAGTTTCCTAATATCAGCACTCAGGAGGCTGAAGCAGGAGGATTGTTTTAAGTTCAAGGCCAGCCTGGGCTACAAAGTGAGTTCAAGGCCAGCCTGAACTGCATAGTGAAACCCTGTCTCAAAAGACAAAAACAAAAACAAAAAAACAAATTGAGAATTAAAATTCTTTCAAATGGTGCTATATAAATTAGTTCCAAATATTGAAGTCTACATTCTGATACATACTGAATCTTGTTGGTGTTTTGGAAATTTTCATATGCAAAACTGCTTTTGTGTTATACCAAGTAAACCTATGGTTATAACCCATTGTTAAACATTAACCTACTAATTCTAATCTTCTAGTCTTCTATTTTTAAAATAAAATAGCTTTGCTTAAACATGAAATAATTTTTAAACATCTGAATGTTAAAAATTAATTTAGAGTGTATCGTCTATTATACCTAAGCTGTATTTCATGATCATTTAGTTTTACTAGTTTAAACACTAACAATTTCAGACTTATAAAGCATGGTTTTTATATTCTCCAGGCTTGA